GGATGGCCCAAGTGCTTGGGCCCTGCACCCCATGGGAGACCAGGTTAAGTACCTGGCACCTGCTATTGGATCAGCGCGGTGCGCCGGCCGCAGCGCGCCGGCCGCAGCGGCCTTTGGAGGGTGAACCAACGGCAAAGGAAGACCTTTCTCTCTGTCTCTCTCACTGTCCCCTCTGCCTGTCAAAAAAAAAAAAAAAAAAAAGACACAGATGTGTCCTCAGTTCCTCCAGCTCTTCCTTCATCTTGTTAAGCTACGATGGATTTTTTTTTTTTTTTAAAGATCTGCTTTACTTATTTGAAAGGCAGAGTTAAGGGGAGGGGGGCAGAGAGAGCTTCCATCTGCTGTTTCACTCTCCAGATGGCCAAAACAACCAGGAGCTTCTTCCAGGTCTCCCACATGGGTGGCCAGGGCCCGAGGATTTGGGCCATTTTCCACTGCTTTCCCAGGAGCACTAGCAGGGAGATGGATTGAAAGTGGAGCAGCCAGGACTCCAACCGGCGCCCATATGGAATGCCAGCACTGCAGGCGGTAGTCCAAACTGCTGTTCCACAAGCCAGTGCTCTAGGGTCTTTCTAGTAAACCACCTCCATCCCCTCCTGTCCTTTTTTTCCCATAAGTTAGTCTGAGTTGGCTTCTGTTAGCAAAAACTTTTTGATAGGGGTCGGCACTCTGGCATAGCACGTAAAACCGCTACCTGCAGCACCAGCATCCCATATGGGTGCTGGTTTGAGTCCCAGCTGCTGCACTTCCAAGTTCCCTGCTAATGTGCCTGGGAAAGCAGCAGAAGATAGCCCAAGTGTTTTAACATTAGACCACAGAATCTTCTCCTCTGCTTGGTTCTTAGAGACAAAGGCGAGAGAGAGCAAGAGGGAGACAGACTGATTCATGTTTTCCAGCCCAAGGCCTGGAAATGGACAATTTAGGTCCTTTATTTGCACAGTCCAATGACAGTGTTTTTTTGTTACAGAGAACCTGGCTTCACTATACTGTAAAGTCAGAGTCCAATGTGACTTTAGAAAGCACTTGCAATTCAATGGTGCTAAAATCACATTTAAAAATAGCTTTTAAAAAAAATTTTTTTTTGACAAGTGGAGTTATAGACAGAGAGAGACAGAAAGGTCTTCCTTCTGTTGGTTCACTCCCCAAACGGCCGACACAGCCAGTGCTGCGCTGATCTGAAGCCAGGAGCCAAGTGCATCCTCCTGGTCTCCCACGCAGGTGCAGGGGCCCAAGCACCTGGGCCATCCTCCACTGCCCTCCTGGGCCACAGCAGAGAGCTGGACTGGAAGAGGAGCTACCAGGACTAGAACCCAGCACCCTTATGGGATGCTGGTGCTGCGGGTAGAGGATTAACCAAGTGAGCCATGGCACCGGCCCTAAAAAAGCTTTAAATCAGGAAATGTGTATGCCTAATTCCTACTTAATTTCAAGCAAGAAACATAAGGTTTTCCCTACTTGGCATCTAAGAATTCTAACCTGAAAACATGATATAGCAAGTTCTAAACTTGCAAAGCAGCCAGAAGAGCTGACCACTTCTAAATAAAGAGCTCCTATTACACTTAATATAATATGCCAGAAGTTAATTCATACATAGCTTTTAAACAATACATTTTGTTACTAATGTATTCAATACTTTTGAACCCTAGAAAATTAACATGTCATTCCCTTGGATGCATGCCACTAGGTGGCGCAACAGGCTAACTCACTCACCTCTGAGGGCCTTGCTAGCCTCCCTACATCTCATGCCAAGTTGGGTGGGTCATTGCAGGTGAACTGCATTCGGGAACTGCGTAAGATCAATTCAGCAGAAAATATAATTTTTACCTACACGGTATGATGAGTGTTCTTGGGATGCCTCTGCCAAGGTCTTTCAGGAGAACCTGTAATCAGCCTACCTCTTATTTCTTGAATTGAATGAATATAAGTTTGGATTAGAATTAGGCAATGAGGAAAAATAAATTATTTTGTTTTGCCTAATTCCAATCCATCCTCAGAGTCTAGTCCTTCCTTGCTTCTTGAATGAAATCTAGGTCCCTAACATCTTTGGTCACCTTTAACAATCAATACCTTCTCTTCCCTTAGCCCTATGTCTGTAATTAAAATAGCTATTCTCTCACATCAGCCAACTCTGGGACCAATAGGGAAAGTTCAACTTTGTTGCCCTCCCCATCTTAAGTTTCAGCTTGCATTAGAGAAACGAGTGTGCCTTCTTGATTTTTTCCACTTAGCACTTTTTTTTTTTTAATTTTTTGACAGGCAGAGGGGACAGTGAGAGAGAGAGACAGAGAAAGGTCTTCCTTTGCCGTTGGTTCACCCTCCAATGGCCACCTCGGCCAGCGTGCTGCGACCGGCACACCGCACTGATCCAATAGCAGGAGCCAGGTACTTAACCTGGTCTCCCATGGGGTGCAGGGCCCAAGCACTTGGGCCATCCTCCACTGCACTCCCTGGCCACAGCAGAGAGCTGGCCTGGAAGAGGGGCAACCGGGACAGAATCCGGCGCCCCAACCGGGACTAGAACCCGGTGTGCCAGTGCCGCAAGATGGAGGATTAGCCTAGTGATTCGCAGCGCTGGCCTCCACTTAGCACTTTCACTCCTCCACTGAGTCACTTATACCTCAGGCCCTCCAGAGGTATCATATCTATGGAGTCACTGAGAGGAGAAGGGCAGATATGGGGCAGAAAATGTCTTCCTTGTCTGGCATTCTGCCAAACATGAGCTCACAATCAAAAACTACAAAACACGTAAGGAAACAAGAAACCATGAGTGAGAGTTAGCAGAAGTAGCAAACTCCAAAATTAAATACTTTCAATATTGGAATTACTGGGTGTGAAATTTAAAATTGGTGCCGGTGCTGTGGCATGGAGCGTAAACCTACCGCCTGCAGTGCCGGGATCCCATATAGGCGCTGGTTCAAGTCCCGGCTGCTCCACTTCCAATCCAGCTCTCTGCTATGGCCTGGGAAAGCAGTAGAAGATGGCCCAAGTCCTTGGGCCCCTGCACCCGCATGGGAGACCTGGAAGAGGTTCCTGGCTTCAGATCAGCACAGCTCTGGCCATTGCAGCCAACTAAGGCGTGAACTAGCAGATGGAATACCTCTCTGTCTCTCTCTCTCTCTGTAACTCTTTCAAATAAATAAATAAATCTTTTTTAAAAAATTAAAATTATTATGCTTAATATATTCAAGGAAGTTAGAGGGAATTATACAAAAGAATGAGAGAAACTATTAACAATAACAATGCAAATTTCAAAGAGTTAATTTTACCTTCTAGAAATGCAAAAGTATATTAATTAAAGTTAAAACTCAAATGAAAGGTAGAGGCAGCTAAAGAGAAAATTAGTGGGCTACAACATAAACCTGAAGAAATTATTCAGATTAGAAAACAGAAGATAGAGAGGCCAGTGCCACGGCTCACTAGGCTAATCCTCCACCTTGCGGCACCGGCACATTGGGTTCTAGTCCCAGTCAGGGCGCCAGATTCTGTCCCGGTTGCTCCTCTTCCAGTCCAGCTCTCTGCTGTAGCCCGGGAGTGCAGTGGAGGATGGCCCAGGTGCTTGGGCCCTGCACCTGCATGGGAGACCAGGAGAAGTACCTAGCTCCTGGCTTCGGATCAGCGTGGTGCGCCGGCCGCGGTGGCCACTGGGGGGGTGAACCAACGGCAAAGGAAGACCTTTCTCCCTGTCTCTCTTTCTCACTGTCCACTCTGCCTGTTAAAAAAAAAAAAAAAAAAAAGATACAGAGATGGAAAGTGCAAAAGAGAGATTAAGTAATATGCGGGGAATAGAACGAGAAAAACCTAACATACATTGGAATCCTCAAATGAAAATTTAAAGAGGAGAGGAAAGATTTGATGTGTTAATACCTGAGAATTTTCTACATTTGATGGAAAATCCAATCCACAGATTCAGGAACACAAGATACTCCCAATCTGGATAAATAGAAGGAAAGCCACACCTGATAACATGTAACTAAATCAAAGAATACAGGGAAGATCGTAAAGAGAAATCTTAAAACCAGCAGTCAAGACAGATCACTTACAAAGGAAGGGTCTCTAGATTCATAACTGACTTCTCAAAGACAACAACGACAGTCAGAGGGAGTGGAATAACAACTTGGGTGTGTTGAGAAGAATAACTATCAGTCAAGAAGCGCACAGCCGGCGAAATTCTCTCTCAAGAACAAGAATAAAATAGGCTTTGTTTCATACCAACATAAACTATCGACAACCACAGAAAGAAAAATATTTCACAAGGAAGCTCTGAAATGTAGGAAGAAGTGTAGAAAAAAAATGAGTGATTCTAAATACATATTTTCTAAATAAAGCTTTTATAGAATTGAAAAAGGAAGACAGAATTCAAATATTAGACAAAACTGCAGGTAGTCTAGAGGAAGTATTTAAAGTAAAATTGTTCCAGAGCCTTCCTGTAGACTAAATGCCCATGTTGACATGTTTAAGTTAACTAACAGAACTGCGCCCAGATATTTCAAGCAAGAGTAGGTTTTCTATTCAACACACTTAAATCTGGAACTCCCTTGAGTAGGTCTGGCCACTGAGAAAGGATTAGTAGTTCCCTGAGGAACTTCTCACTTCTTTTGCTAACAAAGGTTTTGGGGCAGTGGAATTTCTCAAGTCGCAGAATAATAGCTTCCTCCCTCCCTTCCCAAGCATAATTTCTAGTAGGCAGGTGCCTGTGCCCTTAGTGAGATGGAGCCAGATCCCATCACACAGTCAACCCCCTGCCCCAGCTGTACCACTTCCTGAATGTTAGCCGTCTGCGAGAGTAATTTATCCAGGCTGCAGCGCGCTGAACTCTGTAAAAACACAGTGTGCTCTGCTGGGACCTGCGTCTCCCAGGGTCTCACAATCCCACTCCTCTATTAGAACACTGGAAACAACTCGGGGAGGCCTACGGTCAATGATTCTTTGTCCTGCAGAGGCCACCTCATGTGATTCCATGATTCACCACAGTTGTGCTAATTAGGAGTTCTTGATAACAATTGTAGGTGAAAACGCTTTATTTCATTTAAAACGTTACAATCAAATTCACTTTGTGACTGGGGGAAGAATTCATGGGTAACAGTGATGCAGACACTTCAGTTCTGATGTCACAGACAAGGCACAAAAACTACTGGGCAGGCAACTGCCACGAGGCAGACTTCTGGTTCCCCTCTGTCCCATTACTTTTCTGTTCCTTTGTTGTTTAGTCCCCGTGAGGCACTTTCTCACAGGGTAATGCCTAATACCTTTGCCAGTACAGTGGCTTTTTTTTTTTTTAAGCCAGTGTTAAGGAGAAGCTGTGTGTGTTTCTTTCAGCCGTCTTAGAGGAAGTGGATCAGACCGCACTCACTTTGTGTCCAACCCTACAAGAAAGTCTACATCGCTGGCTAAACTGCTGCATCTTTCTCCTCCTCACCCGCCCTCTCTCACTTTTAGTTCCACCTAAAAGTCTCAACACACATGAAGATGCCGGGTGTTTCGCTCCTGCCCTCAACTACAGAATCCTGAGAGGAATCCATCGTACAGCTCAGAAATCGGCTCAGAAGTCCTTCTGCATAAAGGCTGGACGCTGAAGCTCGAATCTATCAAAGCCTTTCCATTCCCCTTCCTCGCTAATGAAAATGCTATTCCTTGCGTGATGCCAGTTCCCTCTTAGGACAGCATTTGAGGGACGGTGCCTGGTTGCTGAGGCAGCAGCCAGTTGCCTTCGTAGCCTCACCCCATCACAGGAGTGAGCACGGAGGGCAGGACTTGTCTCAGACATCTGGCTGTGAAGAGGAGCCAGACGCCCGAGCCATGGGTGATGTAGGAACTGGAAGGAACTCTAGACGGTCAGAAGGCCTGGTTCTAGGATTTTAAAAGCCATTTGGCTACAGGCAGATCCCTTAGCTTTTTCTACCTCGGTTTTACATTCTTTGTGCTGGGAACACATCTACCCTGTCTCTTTTACAAGGGTTGATGTGAGGCTCAAATGAGATAATGCATATGGCCGGCACCGCCGTAGCTCAATAGGCTAATCCTCCGCCTGCGGTGCCGGCACACCGGGTTCTAGTCCCGGTCGGGGCGCCGGAGATAATGCATATGAGAGTGGTTTGTAAACAGCAGCACCCCCTGAAAATAAGACACCTGTTGTCAGCACTAACCTTCGCATCACCCTCAGGCAGTGCTACAGCTTAAAGTTGCTCAGCCCAATGCGATCCTTGCTCTCCCCTGATGGTTAAAGCCCCTTACCTGAAGCTTCCGTCATCAGCTTTCCAGATGACTGGGAGGTAGGATCCCAGAACACTAGGCACTTTCTTCTTCTAGGACATTAAGTACTTGGACCTCTATTTAGTGAATTTGGTCTCTACATTCTATCAGTCAATGTCAAACTCCAGTGAGACCCTGGCAACACTGAAATCTGATTGTGGAAGGATGTGGATGTTACTACCCTTGCATATCTCACCTCGGGTCTGCAGGTGGCAGAGGTACTGACAAGCCAGATTGATGACCATTAAAAATGATTTCCATTTGCCATTTCCCCAACAGCCTATTTCTAAGTCTGGCTCAGGATGCCATCAAGGGAATGAGAAAATTACCTGTAATTCTTGTTGACTGATGTGAGACTATTGCAACAGGTCACTGTTCTGGGAATGGAAACATCTAGAACAGGCTCCTGGGGAATAGTCCTTTCTCTCTCACAGTTTTTCTACTACTGGACTCTGCTGGGCCAATCACCGGCATCATAGCCAGACTGCTGGGTACATTTCCACCGTCAGCTCCTAGTGGGTCAAAGGGACCTCACTAAGACACTTGAAGAATTTCAAAGCCCCACGACCAGAAGTTTGGAGCACATGACAGGAACAAATCTAGTGCATATTTCTCAAATGCATCATCACAGGACTTTTTTGAAATGCATGTTAAAAGTATAAATCCTGGCTCCAGACTCATCCAATTACTCTTAAAGGCATGGTCCAACAATATCTTTTTAACAACAGCAATCAACTAATTCTTAAAGTTTAAAAAATTTTGAGAAACATAGACCCAGCAGGGAAGATCTACAAGCCTGAGAGTCTATAGACTTAGTAGGCTGATGACTTCGCCGATGTCAGTGAGGGTTCTCTACCTATTTTAAAAAAGGGAGGGGGTGAATTACAATATCTGGTACATAAGCCTTTTTCTGAGGCTGCCTAAGAATTTGATCAGATTACCTATAAGAACTCATATATGCAGGTGTGGCTCTGTGTCCTGGCTTTGGGTGGCAGTCCCTTCTCATTCCCAGTGTACTCAGTCCCATGAGAAGGGAGGTAGGGAAGCCTAACATCTCTACAAGACCTGCTCTGTATCAGGAAGGCAGGAAGCATCACTCAAGAGCTGCAGAACTGAGCCCCTGGGGAACAGGTGCCAAGCTCCCGTGTGAATGTGCTGGGGTGGAATAACTGACACGGACCTCCAGGTGCATGGCAATCATCCCAGCCCCTAATGAGTCTGTGAGTGGTCTAGGGAGGCAGCTCATCTACCAGGGGACACCTCCTGCCACCTGCAGCCACACTGCCTCCTCCAACACGGCTCTGACTCAGCCGTGACTCACAGGCGAACACAACAGCTCCTGCACCATCCTCTGGGCACCCCCCACCCCTCGCTTCCCCCTTCCCATCCTAATTCACTTCCTCAGTTCATACTTTCCATGTTGGCTATTCAGACCACTGATCATATGTTTAAATGGTATAAATGTACAAACACACACAACAGTTACATACCAAAATAGTCCCATTTAAATAAAAAATCCTTTAAATCTCTGGGTTTATTGTAATTTATCCATAGCACTATTTCGTATTATATCCTCTTTCTTAGGAATATCTTATTTCCCCTATTAAATCGCAGAGTCCCACTGGACAAAAACTATTGTCTTACACAAGACTTATTTTATACCCCAATAAAACTTAAGAAGGAAGATAACATGTATATGCACTTCCTATGCAGACACTATTCAGGAAGAAGAAACAAAGGAATATATAGACAGAAGCCAGCTGTGCCTTGACTTGTCTATTTGGCCTTCTCTCCTGTACACATATCCAGAAACAATTACTTTTCTCTTCCCTGAAGACCCAGAAGTCTGAGTGATTCACGCAGCCCTACAGAGAACTAGTCCTCTCCCCCAAGGTTATTTCAGTAGCCTGCTATCTTCTTTGTAGTTTTAAATTGTCTGTCTATAGTTTCATTGTCTTTGGAATTGCAGGTTTCCAATTTTAATAATTCTTTCCCATTGCTCTCCTCAACCTTCACCAAAAATCAGACATGCCCCTGGCTAAAGAAAGCAATGTTTTTGGTCTCTGCAGCTGGTGCTACGGGGCTCTTTGGTGGTGAGAAGCCTGACACAGTGCTCAGTATAAAGTGATAATAGCTACTGCAGCTACGCAACATTCTCCAGAATTGCCTGAGCAAGTTGAAATTCAAAGCTGGTGACTAAGAAGTGATGTTTTAATCATCTTTCCCGTCTAAATTGGGGCCCAACCAGACTAGACCTTTGCTTTCAGAAGCCAGGGACGCCAGCAAGTTTGAAACTCAGCACCAGGTTTGTGTCTTCCAGCCCTTGGACGTGCCAACACCGGGATGAATTGTCCCCCTGGTGCCTCTGGGAGAGGCCAGAGTAACTGTGAAGTCTTTTGGGATGTGAAGTCCTTCGGAAGGCCAGTTCTCCAGCAAACAGTGATACCAGTTCATTCTCTTGATCCTCACTCAGCTGCTTCTTTTCAATGCACACAAAGGTCTTTTTTGGCAATGCCATTAAGTACAAAGGATATTAATGGAATGATACTCTGAAAATAGGGCCTAGCTCCAGTTAAGTGGCTCTGGAGAAGACCAAAGAGATGCTGGAGAAGAAATCTTCTTCAGAGGTTGTCCATAGCTCCATCCTCCTCCTCCACTGATTTGACTCAACCATGCGTCCCAACATAATGCCACAGGGCAAAACACTTCGATCGAAATCTATCAAAGAAAGTGGAGGCTGTGAGACACCTAAGGTTCCAAGGAGGAAGGGACTCAGGGCTGAATATTTCTGACAAGAAGAAAGTGTCAGTTCTGTCCTTGAGGAGAAATGAGCACATGGAGTGCTCCAAATTCTCACACCTTGGGTAGGAATCAGCAATTTGGCTGGGCTCAGCTAGGCAGTTCTTCTGTTGGTCTCGGTTGGGCTCATTCACGTGTTTGATCATCTGAGAGCTGCTAGGCCATCAGATGGGTGCTAGGGCTAACAAGGCCCCTTTCTCTCATCATGCAGCACGACAGTCCTGGTTCATTCACCTGGTGCTGGCTCTAAGTTTCTCAAGAGCATCAAGACAGGACAAGTCCCTTTCAAGTCTCTGCAGGTGTCAAATTTCTATAGGGCCATTGGCCACAACTAGTCACATGGTCAACTCCAGGTTCAAGGGGTAGAAAACAGGACTGCACCTCTTGATGAGAAAGAAAGAGCTTGTGGCCTTTTTTTTTTTTTTTTTTTTTTTTTTGCAATCTATACACATTACAAAATCTAATGGAATCTAGTTTTGGAATTCAGGCAAAATCTGTCATTTAGGCAAGGGTAGGACTAGGAATTACTCCTTCCCGAGAAAGTAATGTCCTTGGTCTCCCAAATGCATCTATAATGGCAGCCTAGGTGGGCCAAAAAGATGCATGCCCCACATCCCTGGTGTCCTGGGATTGAGATGGCAGAAACAATTCATAATCAATGAAGTATAAAATCAGAAAAGATTGAGCGGAGTTTGTGTGGAAAAGGTCCTAAATTCAAAATATAATGACACCACATTTCTTTTCCTCTTAAACTCTTTCTCAGCCTTTCTATCATGCACTACTTCTTTCTCCTCTTGTTCTCACTCTTGTCTTTCCTGTATTTTAAATACTTATCAAAAGGCACCTGATGACAAGTTAATCAGAGTGCAGAGGAGGTGGGGTGCTGTGTGTGGCACCAACCAGTGGGAATGTTAGGAGAGGAAGAGAAGAGCCCTTAATGTCCAAGACTCAGACGTTGATGTGTACAGCAGAAAGGAAAATCAGTTTATATTCTCAGAATGGACAAAGAAATACCACTTAGACGTTTTATCAAAATGGTGTACTCTTTGTTCCAGCCACTCAAGAATTGTCATTCCGAACAGCAAATTGAAGTAATTTCTGTGATTGTCCAGGAGGTCGCTGTCACTGAGCTCACCAAAGGTCTTCTGATTTGAGTGTAACAACAGTCATTGACTTGTGACTGAGAAGTGATGGGGATAAAAGCTGTATTTTGCCTTGAAGCTATCTTCCCTTGTCAGCAGAAGGCCTTCTTTCAATAGCAGTGATAAATTCTTCTGTCTCTGAGCACAGCCCGGGAGGTATAGAAGAGCAGACCGTAGGCATAGGCGATTTCTGGAGATTAGCAGTCCAGAGCTAACTCTCTTTCAGAATCAGAAATGGAGTCCTGGATCCATTAAGGAAGGAGGCTGAGCAGGATAAATTCAGAAACTCTGCATGTGAGAAAGTTCTCACTTGTCACTGCTTTCTTGGTGAGTTTCTCAAACTAGTTAGCTGGGCTCTTGAGGTTCAAATCTGCCTCCCTTAAAGGCTGCCTCCCATCCTTTGCCAAAGCAGAGATCAGCAAATCTTCCAAGGCGGTGGCCAGAGAAGATCCTGGGCCTGCTGTCTCTTGGATTTATGTCTTGTCCCTGTAGTCTGCATCTGCTTTCTAGTCATTCAGAGAGATGTCTTGAAAACATCAGACCACAAGTGACATCCTGGTTGGGAAGTCATTCTGGGGAAGAGCAGAAAGAGCCCAACATTAAATCACGTGCTGGTTAGCAACTGACACAAGAGATGGCTCACTGGGCAGAGCCCACAAGCCATGGCGAGCCGTGCACAGCCTGACTCTTAGGGCACTTCACAGACTTGTGATGGCTGTGCCTACGCCTCAGTGCACAAGCCAGTACCCATCTGCTAGAACTTATCACGGCCATGGAAAAACCTCCCACCACCCTAAGGATAACCACAACATTTACAGCTCCACAACGGCAAGTGTGGATGGTATACTATGAACCTGAAATCAGCAGAATTTATTGTGAATCATAGTATACACTAAAAAGAATGTCCGGTTTGCAGTCATGAAAAACAAGAAGTTAGGGGGCAGGCAGTGTCATGGGGGACAGAATAGAAGCACTTATGCTTGGAGAGTGGCCTCCAAAGCACCAGGGTCAGAGGCACTTTGGTCCCCCACATTCGACCTCTGGGACTATCCCTGATGTTTCTTTGAGGTCCAGAGCTCAAGGGTGGAGGCTGAGAGATGGAGTGGCTGCTCTTAGCACTTAGAGAGAAGGCAGCAATAAAGCCACATACAAAGGACAGTGAACTGGGTGGGGACCAAAGGATTTCTTCAACATATACAGGGCACAGTACACAGTCTCCACTCAAAAATGTCAAAGGGGGAAAAAAAAAGAGGTGAGCTGCCCTTGAAAACAGCAGTGGCTCCCAACCTTCTCCGGGACGTGGCCTCTTCTGGAAATTTTCTCAAAGCTACAGATCCTGGGAAAGTCAACTGCAGGAACCGTTTCAGATATAAAACACCCAGGAAACGGGGTGGGCGCGGGGGGGGGGGAGGGATTCGTGGGGGAAATTATAAGGTGAGGGACTACAGGGGACAAATCGATGACACAAAATCGAGCACATATATGGAATTGTTTTGGCTACGAGTCAATAAAAATATTTAGGGAAAAACATGAGAATGTGAAGGCTGAATAAATATTTGACAATATTAAAGACTTACTCCTTCGAAGGGTAGGAAAAAAAAAGTCACAAACCCTTTGCCCTAGGGGTCAGGGCATGGGAAGAAAAGCACACACGGGCATTGCTAGAACATTCTGCACCCAGACTCCGACGCCACCCAGAGGCCCGCGGTGGGGGTGGCTTCTCACGGCTGACGGCTGAGGATCCAGGGCCCTCAGTAAACCCTCGTCCCCCTCTGCATACTCAACGTGCCAGAGCGCCACGTTTACTTCCCTCAGCCGGCCCTGGGACAAACCCCTGGCAGGCCGGGCGGGCTGCCGGCCCGCGGCCTCCCACCCGGCCACCCCGCGCCCGGGGCAGCGCGCCCGCCCGGCGGCTCCCCGCGCGGCCCACTTGCAGGAGCAGCACCAGGCGCGGCCTCACAGTTTTCTTGGCGGGCTCCTTTTTCCTCCTCTTCTCCGAGTTGCTGTGGAAGGGCAGGTCGCGGCTGCGGTAGGACGGGCCCCGGCTCAGCTCGAGCTCGCTGTAGGGCGGCAGCGCGTCGTCGGGCGCGTCCTCCTCGTCGTCCTCGTCGTCGTCGTCGTCGTCGTCCCGCGGCGCGCCCGCCTTGTAGGTGGCCGGCGGCGACCAGGCGTAGTAGGAGGCGCTGCGCGGGCCGAGCTGCGCGCTCAGCTTGGACGGCGTCTCCAGGCTGCCGCCGCGGCTGGCGCCGACCTCGGGCCGCGGCGGCCGCTCCAGCACGCTGCTCAGGTACGAGTGGTCGTACTTGGGCGCGGCGCCCGGCGTGCGGCTCACCAGGCGCGGCAGGTGCGCGTCCTCGGCCGGCCGCCGGCGCGGGGGGCTGTAGGACCAGCCGCGCTCGGCGTCGGTCAGCGGCTCGCGGCTGCGGCTGCGGCTGCGCGGCCCGTAGTACTCCTCCAGGGAGCCGTCCTGGTAGAAGGCCCCGTGCGCCCGCGACTCGGCGCGCTCGAAGCGGCTGCCGCCCCGCGCCTCGTGGCTGTTGCCGTCGGCCCGCCGGGACCGCTGGCCGTAGGAGTCGGCGAAGGCCGCCAGCTCGTCCATGGACACGGCTGGCACCCCCGTGGCGAAGTTCTTCCGGGACAGCATCTCCGATTTGGAGCGCTGCTGGCTGCGGGCAGAGGGGTCATTGGTGAGGTCTTGGGCTGCTTGCGGGGTTGGGGGAGGCAACCCGGGCCTCGTGCAGGGGCCCCGGGAAGCTGGGTCGTTTTGACACCTCCCACACCCAAGAATCTTGCTCCAGGGAGGGCAGCCGTGTGTGCCCCACGAGTCTGTGTGAGGGATCAAATTGGGCTTGTGTAGCTGAAAATACTTTGTGGGCTCAAAGTGTTAAAAACACACCCGTGGGGCCGCCTTCTGAATGTTATGTGGCCTCTGGTTGACAGCTACGCACAGTCACCAGTGCAGGCTGTCAGACACACAGCCATGTTTGGTGACACAGGGGCCTGAGAACAGGCAGACCCCTGCCGTTAGTAAGAGAAAGGCAGTGTCTCCCGTCCAAGCTAAAAGACCTGGTGGTGGGGAAGGTGTTAATTCAGGCGGATGTGGTCACAAGAGGTGGGGTGCAAAATTTGCCCTCCCACAGTCGTTGGCCACATCACCCTAAGTCCCTTACCATCTGGAAGGTTCCATTCTCCCAACTTAAAATGGGGACGTTAATGGGACACTTACATGAACAGGATTTCACCTTTCACATAGCAAGTGATTAAACACGATGGACATGATGAGATTTTCGTTAGCCATTATTGGGTAAAATACATGAGAAGGGCAGAGATAGGTTAACAAGGGTCATTAGGGTCCAGAGCCCTCAAACCGCCCTGCCTTTCGGCTCCTGCGCCCTCACAGCCATCACCTGTGCCTGAAGCTCTCCCGGTCCTCTTTGTTGTACTCCATGGCTGAGGGTCCCCGGCTGGCTCCACCGCTGCCTCCCATGACACCGGACCAGTAGTCAGGGTTGCTCTCCAAGTCCCCAGACACAGGGAACTGCTTGCTTCGCATCTGATGGTAAGACTGGCGGAAATTGCTGTCATCCTCGTGCAGGGAGCTGAGTTCCGAGATGGTGTTGTTATCTGCAAGGACAAAGCCAGGCATGACACAGCTTTCTACGGGCTCAGCAGGAAGGGACAGCTGTTAAGGGCTGATAGCAGAGGCTCCGAGATACTCTCGCTCAAGGGCCTCTGTTCAGGGAGGCTTGTAGCCCTACTGTAGAGGTATCTGTGTTCTTAGCTCAGCAGGAAGCTTACTTGCATACAGAAAGGGAGGTATCCTCTGTTCTTGAACTAGGAGAATAATTGCTATTGTTCTCCTGGCTCTCTGCAGCTGGCCTCCGCCTAGTATACCAACATCCCTGTTCAAATGTTTTTCTTCTCCCCATCTGATTCTGTGGTGAGCCGTGATGATGCCATGTATGTTGGCATGTTCCCCACCATTGGTCCAGGCCCAGGATGGAGCCAGTCCTGCTCCGTGCTATAGGGGCACCCATTCCAGCTGCCTTTGGCGGTGCACCTCCCACACAAGTGCAGAGAGCCACAGGAAGTGCACAGCTAGTGTCAGTACACTCCCACTGTAGAGCGTGCTCACCCAGGGACCTGGAATGTGCTGCCCAAGCCCACTCACAGTGCCTGCAATGACCTCTTGCTCACCCCAGTCCTATCCAGGGTTGTGTGCTGGAATGGGTAGACCAGTTGTTCGGAGGTGTGAGAAGCAAAGGAAAGTAGGCTGCATTTATGGCCAGTGGGCTTCTGCTTGTACTCTGGCCCCAGCCCCAGGATGTAAAGGGTGGGAGTGGGGAGCAGCTTTCTCATCCCCTGCAGTGGTCTAAGGAGCTTTTTGCAAAAGCAGTTGTGAGCAAAGACCAGCTTCACAGTGTGGAAAGGAAGGAAGAAAAAGAAATAAAACCCAACTGTTTATTTATAGAACTTGAAATGTATTGAATTTCATTTTACTTAAAAGATAAATCTAGTGAATCTATTTGCAGTGTAACTGAATCCATTTGTTTTCCCCAGTCTTTTCACTAGAACTTCAAAATATTATCAAAAACAACATTTATCAGGTTTGAGGCTGTGTTGAGTGAGAGGAAAGCCAAGACAGTATGGAGAGAGCACAGATGCATGCCTCGTGCCCCTCCCCAACCTGATCTTCCAAATAATCCCCGGAGGAATGGAGAATTTTTGCTTGAAGATAAGAGCAGACCTCCCTCCATGGCATATAAACAGCATCCTAGTGTTGTTTCACCAGGGACATGGGGTTTGCCATGACCGCCATTCAGTTTCATCATGCAATCAGTTGGTTTTCAATTATAATCTAATTCTTAAATCTCTTCCTCCCAAGAAGAATGGGCTAATTTGTGCCTATGTTACAGGAAATCAATTCAGATGCTATTAATAAAATCTAGAACTTTCCCTGTCTCAGGATCCCTGAGAACTCCAATTTCTTTGGAACCATGCAGAAGAAAACTTTGAAATGAAACCACTGAAAAACAACACTGTTGGCTCAGGATTCTCCTTCAACTTCAGGGAAAATGTGACCTTTTTCGTTTTCTGTTTTATCATTCATACTGATGGGCTGTCCGGGTTGGATGTAATGATAACATTTCTGTCTGTCTGGACATGAAATCAACATCCCTTGATTCACAAGAAATACCCCATAATTCAACTCCAGGTCAGGGCAGGTTGACTCTGTACAGGGCCAGAGCATAGACATTTTAGGTTTTGCAAATCATACTTTTATAAGTCTTCAATTCTGCATTGCAGGAGGAAAAGTAGTCATTTAGGATACCCAAGTGAATTGGTGTGGCTGTGTTCCAAGAAAACTTTATTGACAAAAATAGGGAGTAGAATTTGTTTGTCCTGGGGGATGTAGTTTGCTGCCCCTGTCCTAGGACTTCCCAGACAGAAAACATCCCATGAGCAAATCCCCATTTGTAAAGGCAAGGCAAGTAAGGGTCACTGGCTAACAAATTTATGAGCCTTGACCTCAAGTTCCCAATTGTTACAGGATCTGTTACTCTCCTGCCCCAACCTGAAACCATGAGATTCATTTTGTAATGAAAATTTTAAGATTGTCCCTCTTCTATGTTCACTCCAAAATTTAGATTAGAACCTCTCAGAGTAAAAGGAACTTCTTCATAGCTGTGCAATTATTGTGATGTCCACCTACAGGTTCCAGGATATCTGAGTTCCAGTTCTGGCACCAGCTTTCAGTACTGGTACTGGTAACCTTTCCTCCCTGCTCAACTTTCCTGCTCTGTAAGATGTAGGAGGTGGATCTAGCAACCTCAGAGAGTCCCTTCCAGTCCTAGCATTCTACAGTCTTAGAGGCTGCAGCCATGGAGCCATCCCCAATTGGCTCATGTGTTTCCTGTAAAGGGTGGAGGGCTAGGAATCAGAAGATCTATGTTCTAGTCCTGATTCTCTCATGGCACCCCTCTGGCTGGCTGTTTCCACCTCTGTACAACAAAGGTTGACTATCTCTAAGTCAGTCCCCTCTATGGTCCCTTTGACTCTAAGATTCTATCACCTTGTTACCAGCCCACCTCCAGAGGACATTGTAACTGAGGTAGACAGACAGAAGATACCATGTGAATCAGAATCCATCTGTTAGTTTCAACCTTAGTTCACTTTTCCTCCAACCTATGAGATTCGTAGACTTCCTGTGCAGGCTTGTCCTTGGTCCCGGACTCGCTCTGTCTCTGGCCCCTTACAGGGATCCATGACAACACTGTTACAACTAGCTTGTCAAGTGCAGTGACATCTGCATTCCTGACATTCCAATCTGGAGATGGTCTTTTTATAGCCCGTAAGGTGGGAGGATGCGGCAATGGATGCAGGGCAGACAGCATGAATTCAGAATTGCAAACTGGGTGGAATATGTTGTCCTTAATCTGAATAAAGCTCCTCCAGTCTAGGACTGTTTCCCCAACAATTGCATCAAGTCTCTTGTTGCTTCTAAGAAGAGGAGCGTTCAGAGAGACCATCATCACCTCACCGCCACGCCTGCCAGCACCTTCGGATAAGCCTCCCACCTGCATCTACACCAGATCTGCCCTGTGCTGCCTCCCAGGATAGACAGTAATGTGGAATCTACCCCAGAGAATGAGCTGTGTCAGCTGCTAAGTCTCCAAGGGCTGGGGGCAGTTAAGGGTTGGGGCCCTGCTACCTACAAGCTGAGTAATTAAGAAGTTCTTTTGACACAAGGAGCAGCCTCTTTGCTCACCCCCCTCAATCTCTGCTGTTGGGCAACTCAGGAATGGCAGCCGCCTTTCCCCAGAGTCACGGCCAGACTGGTTCTTTGACTTTCCTTGAGGCCCCCATGAGCAACTCAGCAGCTGGACTGTTCAATTCTTAGGGCCCTTTACATTGGGAAAAAACTGATTAAGCTTCCAAAGGGAGCAGTAGGAGCTATTTCAAACCCCCGGATCCCATAGCTCCCGCAACACCGACTGCCCCTGGAGAGATACAGCATACACCAAGGGCATGCACGATGCTCTACTCTTCACACCAGAAGCCCTTTTGTCTCTCCTCTGCAGGCTGGCAGCTACTGTCTTCTTGGTGTCACCAGCCCTCCTGTGAGCTCACAGCTGCCCAAGCTTGGTAACGCCCCAACCTCCTTTCCCTGTGAACTCCTGCAGCATGCACAGGTCTCGTAGAACTACCAGATGCTCACATCTGCCTCGCATCCTTCTGGCTGGATCAAACTGAGCCAGCTCCTTCTCCACGTAGTACAGGACCTTCATCGAGTCTCTCTCTTTATCAGCCTGGATCCGGTACCCTTTGCGAACTGTTGAGGAAAGTACAAGAAGGTGAGCTGAGGGCAGTCCCAATTCTCACAACCCTTCTGGAAATAATCTACATCTATACACATGGGACCGCATCTGATAGCCCCTTGCAGATGGTGTCACTGAAATGGAGGACCTGGCACAGTCTATGCAGTATATTTTTAGTCATTTGTTAACCTCCACTTCCTATCTTTGACCTGCAGTTCCACTTAAAGCTCATCTCCTCAAAGCTCTTGGGTTCCACTGGAGGAATATGCTCACACCAAGGAAGGAGCTTGTGTCACTGCAGTGTAAGGCTGTCTTCACTTGGGGTGAGCACAGGTAGCTTTAAAACAGGTACCCAGCCATTAGGGACCCTGACAAAAGTGACCCGAATGCTTCTAGTTGCCTGGGAGGTGGTGCAAAAATCCCTTAAACTAAACTAATATCAGATTCCAGACCCTATACACAGTAGTACAAAGAAAGATACAAAATACATGGGTTTCTGATCATGGTTTCATATTTTTTTTTAGCATTTCCCTTTTAGGAAAAGAAATACCATATTTTAGACATGATTAATTCAACCTAATGCTGTGTGGTTGCAAGCAGGTGTTGTTTTCAGGGCTTAATAAAAAAAAAAAAAATAGAGCAGGAAAGGTAATATCTCCGACATCCCATCCCTCATATTGTCAGCACAAATGTCACTCATGTTGTCAAGGCTGTTTAAGCCCCATGTTGCATAAAGATCACTCGAGCCCAATTCCAGTCCCAAGGGTCATCAGACACCAGCAGGTCTACTGCACAGACATAAGAAAAACAAAAATGAGAGAAGGGAATGATGGGATGGAGAGAGGACAACAGTAATTAGACAACACTCACTGGGCACTGAAAATGTGTTAGGTGCTATGCCAAGTGCTTTACACAGACCCGTGTTCCTCCCAGTCACCTAAGTACTGCTATCAGCTACATTTTATGGTTGAGAAAACTCTGGCTCAGAGGGCTGCCACAACTTGCCCAGGAATAATTTGGCAGCACTGGGGCTAGAGCCACGCAGTTTGATTGAAACTCAACTGTATTAGTGCATCTTGCCTCTCTGGAGTCTAAGAGGAGAAGTAGGAAGAGGAGTTAAATAAGGAAGACCAGACAGTAAGACCCAGAGCAGGAAATGCTCCCAGGTGTGCCATGGGCTGTAGGATCCATGGCATGGTCCTGTCTTCCTGCAGGTAGGACCACACAGCAGGATGGAAGTGAGTAACTCAACTCAACACTCCTTGTCCCCAAAGTAGAGCAAATACTATAATGAAAACACGTGACTAGATGTGCATTCAAAGAAAACCCTGACTTCTCATGCCTGGACATGTAACCCTGGCTATGGACGAGGCCCCCACACAATTACACTCTTCATTACGATACAGATTTGATTGTTAATGCATTGGTTATTTACATGGAGATTAAAGTATAAAATTGCACAGCACTCTAGGCACAACCTAGGCATTGAAGACAGAGAAGCTGCCCACACACTAATTGGCAGGTACACTGGTTTTTTTAATACATGAACATACTGGGAGTCCACATTCATCCGAAATTGTGGAATTACTTGGAAAAATATGAATGAATCTCTGCACACCCTTTTTAGTGGCACCTTCTCCCAGAGGTTAGCTCCATAATCCTTATGTAGAAGCAATTATTAGCAGAAAAGATCTTATTTATCAAGTTACACATTCATCTATGCCTGCAGAGGCGTGTACGGAGTAGTACAGACAGTTCAATTAAAATGCAATTATCCCACTGAACTGCTGCGTCTGTGCTGAGGCAGTTACGCCTGATGGAGACGCCCAGGCTGGGAAGCTGGGAACTGGGCATTAGGTCAACTTCATTGGGTCATTGCTTCATTCAGAGGACTGTCTTTGATTCTCATAGTAAGAAAAGTTCTGTCTCCTAAGGTACGAATCATTTAGTTTGAATTTCTACTATGGTCCTTACTGTATTCTAGTTTTTTTCAGGCTATTTGCTTACATGACCAGTTGTCTCAAAGATTCTAGATGGGAGAGAATCCTTATCATTCTAGGTCTGCATGTGCCTAGGACTGTGCTTGACCATAGTGGACACCTGATTTTGTTAACTTGCAGCCTGGGATTGGGGGCAGGGTTACTGGTCTCTACAAAGAGGATTTCCAGTAGTTTCCCAAGGTCAGGGTATCAGATTTCTCAGTTCACCTCTATCCCCAGCACCTAGCATAGAGCCTGGCACATTGTAGACATACAAAACAGGTGTGTATGAATGAATAAATGGGAAGCTGGGAATAGAAGCTGTTTTACAAGGGATTACGATGTATGGCAGATTAGGCCATGTGGGTGACTTATTGAAGAATTTTGACCAGGAAGAGAAAGGCTCTAATGGTAGCCTGAAGAAGCAGCAAGATTTAGGTAATTTTTGTGACCTTTCTTCCTGATGGTGCTTTTTTAAGTAAAGAAAGTTTGCATGTGTGTAGGCATAAGGGAAGGGACCTGCTCCACCTGCAGCCTTGGCTTTATCTAGGTGTTTTTAGTATGTGAAGCACTATTAGGGTAACGGGTCAGAGGTCTTGGGAGGTCTGTCACTCTGTGAAACAGTGAAACAGTGTACGAGCTGCCCCCTGGTGGTGAGAGTGGGCCATTACTCTGAGCACCAGCTGAAGGATCCTTGGTCACCAGCAATTTGGACTGGAGCTTAGGTTTTCTGTGTCATTATAGAAAATTACACTCTTCATTATGATACAGATTTGATTGTTAATGCATTGGTTATGAGATCCCTGGAGATCTTAAGCTATTTACAGCCTCAAATGGAGATGACAGCTTTGCCTCCAGTGCTGTCATCAGAGACTCCTCTCCATTGTACCATACACTTTCAGATTTGACTTCTCCATCAAAGCTCCCCATGGCTTCAGAAATCTAAATTCCTCCAATGTGTCAAAAAATAGAGAGTAAAAGTATTGATCTTTAGATTTTGGGATCATCATCCTTTGGTTCAAATGGCTAAAAATCTAGGCAATTCTCCCTTTAAAAGGTTTTGAACTTTTTTTTTAAATGGTAACAAATTCAATTGTGCAGCACTCCAGAGTACCAGGGATCTCCAGAAAATTCATGGAAAATCCGTATCATGAAAAAACTGTGTGTGGATTTCCAATATGTTGTCACAAAATTAAACTTATCTTTTAAGTATATTTTCCCATGAATGCCATTTTTTAAAAAGATTTTTTTTTATTTGCAAGGCAGAGTTAGAGAGAGAGAGGCAGAGACAGAGAGCTCTTCCACTGGTTCACTCCCCAAATGTCCACAATGGCTGGAGCTGGGCCAGCCAAAGCCAAGCACCCGGAACTTCATCTGGGTCTCCCAGGGGTGTGGCAGGAGCACATGAGCAGGGAGCTGGGTGGAAAGTGAAGCTGCTAGGATAAGAACCGGTGCCCATATGGGATGCTGGCACCATGAAGGGAGGCTTAACCAGCTGCGCCACAACACCAGGTTTTAAAGTATTCTCCTATTCTTTTCATCCTGCGAGGATCTGGCTCTGTGTCACACATGCATTCAGGAACATGTCAAACACCAGACAAGCCTTCTTGATCCTTCCTTTCCACAAAATGAGATTTTCCTTCCTGGGCTTACATCATGAACAGTCTTTCCCATATACTGCCTTGTATTTCTTACTCATTTTATTTCCATTCATGAGCCCCCGCAACCATCCTGCTAGACTATAAATTCCTGGAGGATAGGGAAATTTGTAGGCATTCAATGAATTTTTTCTTGATTTGAAAACATACAGCATGATGTCAGATTGATTTTTATCTGCTGTTTGTCTGAAAATCAGATAATTCTCAGATATGTGGTGATATTTTCATAAGAAATATACTGGAGTATTGGCAAAAGTCCAGCAGATTTGGAAAATGACTTGTTTCCCAAGGATTTTCAGTTTAGAGTCAATGGATAATTTTTATCAGTTTTCAAGTTCAGTCTGGCCCAAGTCCTTTGGTTTGTGTGGCTCTTCATACTCCATTTCCTCTAATTTGTTAGCCCTACCAACTTTGGTTTTACTGGAGAGTAGATACTGGGATATCCACTTTGATGCCAAACTATATTTTCAGAAATTCTTCCTGTAAAAGGATTTAAACTAACAGCTTTGGCCTAATCAAGGCTCAATTATTTTTCAGCTAATTTCCCCTTTATAGCCAAAATTCAACCAGTAAAACTTGCAAAAAGACATCTCAGAGGCAGATACCCATAGATAAAGCGTTGTTCTTCCTGTCCTGTCTTAACGAGCTAAGCAAGGCTGTTTATGGATGATGGAACAGCTGCCAGATTCCACCCCCAGGGTGACAGCAGCTCAGTTGTGGGAGATGTGATTCTTAAAATTTGCATATCTGTATACATACAGTAGGCCTATATATATAGAGATAGACACACATCCTTATTAATTTTGAAAATGACATTTCACAACCCTACTTGCCTACTCAATTCCTTCACACAAAGGATTAGTGGAGGCCAAGGAGATTGAAATAAAATGAATTAGAGCAAAGAAGAGCAGATGTGGACAGGCCAGGTGGGAGATAATTGCATTAAGTGAGGTGGGAGGTGATGGCAAGAAGGACTAGCATTGCTGCAGCAGCAAGGCAGGAAAGTGTGTGACCGCAAGGTTATTTTGAGTTACAGTCTCAAGGACTTAGTGACAACTGGATGGGGGAAGTGAGGAAGAAGGGACAAGGCTGAGGTCCCCGCTTCTGGTCTGGGCTACTAGGTGGACAAGGAGGCCTTCGGGAGATAAGGAACGCAGAAGCTGGTTGGAGGTGGAAAACCAACAAGATTAATTTGATTTCCTAGGGACAGAGGTGCTTGAGAGGCCTGCAAGATATCCAGGTGTGTGTGTGTGTGTCCACAAGGCAGCAATGGAAACAGTCTCAGAAGCTAAAGAGCAGTGAGAGAATGACCATGAGTCTCCAGTGTATAGGTGATGGCTGGAGCCATGGGAGTAGATAAGATTTCACAGGCAGAGAACTTTGGACAAGATAAGAACAGCAGCATCTGGAGGTACACGGAAGAACACCCAGTAGCATAAATTACAAAGTAAAGTGCTGAGAAAGTCAAGAAAGATGAGGGCGTTGGGATGGCAGCTACTTTTGTGAAATGAGAAGTAAGGACTAAAAGCAAGCAGGCAGTCTTGACGAGGGCTGGTTTGGAGAGTGACGTAAGCAGTCGTAGGATGGAACTTCGGGGAGAGGAAACAGAGACATCACATATTCAGCACTCCTTCAAAGGTTTGGCTTGCAAAGGAGAAAAGGATGAAGGAGCAACACTGGAGGACTGCACGGTTTTTGTAGATTGTTGTTGTACTTAGTGAAAGAGATCAGGGCCTGTTTGGATGCTGAGAGGAAGAGGCACTAAAGACAGGGTGACGACGTGAGGGGGGAATGGAGTGAGGTGCGGCCCTACAGCGCAGAGGACGGGACTTTGGAGAAGCTGAAGGGAATGGATCCAGAGGGGTGTGCGAGGAGACAGACTTCTTTCCCTGCCACAGAGAAGGGCCCAGGTCGCTGCCAGGAAGAATGGGAGAAGGAATCAGGGTGCTTTTTCTCTCTCTCCTATTCAGCAAACAACTGGCTGCACTATACACAGCTCATCAAAGGAGCCTTTTCAACTACAAAGAGTGTTCAAAAGAGTATTGTGTGCCAATGTAATCTGAAAAATTACTGTTGCTAGATGATTACTCTGAAATTGAAGTAGCATATAAATATAAAATAGGCTAAATTTACATTTTTATACATCAGCGTTTCTTAAAGCTTTTAGCATTCTTTAGAGAATCATCTACATAGAATATTGGCCTAAGCCACCCTCCTTAAAGGAGGACTAGACGAGAACCACTAACACTGCCTGCGGGACCATGGTACAGAAATGTGCCCAACAGAGCCACGAAGAACCCAGTTCTGACTCTACCAGCCAACGACATGGGCCCTACTAGCTATGGTCAACACTGCCTACCATCTTTCCTGTTTTCTTCAACATGGCCCTCATTTGTTCACTTCCAAGGTGAACAGTTATTTAAGCCAAAGAGGGGAGTCATAATTAGTTCAGGCCAGTCTAGTTTAGGAATGAGCATGGGCCACAATCCTTGCTGATAAAGCCTCAAGAAGAAGTCTGCCAGATGGGAAAAAAAAAGTTGTCCTCTTGAGAAAAGCAGCACAAGGAGGAAACACACAATGAGTACATTTCATACCCAGACCTGCAGCAGTCAGGGGGGGATCAGAAAGGGAGCCAGCCAAGGGGGACAAAAGATGTGGTCAGGATGACAGAACAAAGATGGAACAAGCAAGGTCCTTCAGTGAGACCACGTGATCTGTCTGCTTAACCAAACCCGAGCCACCCTACCTTGGGATTTTGTGTTATGTGAAATAATGCAATAGTCTATTTTTTCCTCTTATTTTTAAAGGCACTTCTGATTGCAATTGGTTAGTACTGTGGGAAGGGTCCAAAGTCAGTGGACCACAAGAAGCAGAATTGGCAAAAAAAGACTGCATACAGGAGATAGGATGTGTTTCTATAAATAAGGATCATTTTGTTATGGGAATCCACTAAATACAAAGCCAGGGGAAAGGATTCCAGTGAGAAGGAGGTAGGAAGACGATGAGAAAAAGGAGAAAGCAGCAGAATGGAAGTGTGAGATGGGTTTCATTCACGTCTCTCTTGCCCACTCCCTCCTCCAGGGAGATGGACTGTGGCGGCTTTATCTCCCCAGTTCCCTTTGTGTCCTTAATCATTAACTTTTACTTCTCGGTCTGTGACTCATTCTCAGTCTCAGACGTCAGAATTCTACTAATAGTTCCAGGGAGAGAAAAGCACAAATAACAATTACTCATGGAGGAGAGCCACTCCTTCCACAGCCAGGCGTGGGCAGTTCATTAAGAGGGCTAGAGGCCCTTCCCACCCCTCACTGACAGCAGTCCAGATACTTCCAGGGGAGACATGTATGTTTTAACCAACCCTACTGGCTCACCCACATCTAGGGTTTAAAAATCACTTTCTAGGGCCGACTCTGTGGCATAGTAGGTTAAGTATCTGTCTGCAGCACTGACATCCCATATGGGTGCCAATTCGAGTACTGGATGCTCCACTGCCGATCCAGCTCTCTGCTATGGCCTGGGAAAGCAGTAGAAGATGAACCAAGTGCTTAGGCCCCTGCACCCACATGGGAGACCTTGAAGAAGCTCCTGGCTTTGGATCGGTGCAGCTCCAGCCATTGCGACCATTTGGGGAGTGAACTAGCAGATGGAAGACCTTTCTCTCTCTGCCTCTCCCTCTCTCTGTAACTACCTCTTAAATAAATATTTATTAAAAAATTCACTTTCTAAATCTACTATGGGCACAACTCCAGAAAAACTCCACCCTACCTGCCCTTGAACCTCAATGCAACATCCCTGAAGACAGCTGCAAATTCATCATGCTCCAAATAAAACGCATCTTCCCCACCAATTGGCTCTCCCTAACAATTCCCTCATTTCTGTCTCATCTGCACAACTGGACCACTTGGGGTCATCATGGAGCTGAATGTCTCGTTTGTCTCTTACCTCTCAGATTTACCCATACATTTCAACTCCGCTGTCTCCACCAGCATCCCGACACTCACGCTGCAGTCCTGGCCATGTCAGTCACATCTTAGCTGTGGCCTCTGGCTCCATCCTCTGCCATCTCTCTTCTCAGGGGTCTGCCTGCAGCACTCCCACCAAGCCCCAGCTCCTTAGGAAGGGTTTCAGGGCTGTCCCCAGTCTGTCCTTCACCTTCCTCTGACAAGCTGGACACTGCTCACGCTCGCTCCATTCTCCTGGCTCTGGCCTTCACCACACTGGCCTTCCTGTATGTCGTGCTCAGCATCCCCCATCTTCCTCAGTCCTACTTGTTCCTCCAGGGCCAGCTCCCATCTCATCCCCTCCCTGAACCCTCCCTTTGTAACCACTACAACCCTTTCTGCATTGAACTTCAAGTACCAGACCCCTCAGCCTCTAGTTGTCTTTCGAAAGGCCCATTCTCTCTCCCTGGCTAAGTTGTTCCTCTTGCTGGAGAAGCTACACCCTATAATCTGGCTGTCCGTCATGGTATCTAGTACATTCCTGCACCCTAAGTAGGAAGACACAGTCTTTATTAACTGAATGATTAACATTCACAGTGTACCTGGCTCTTTTCCCTATAGTTTTAGTCACTGAAGATCTTGGCAAAAAAAGCAAGGTTCGGCAGTGTCCTGCAGGCCTTGGAAGCCTGGCACACACTCCAAAAAGTAGCTGATACAGCTGGAAGGATCCCTTTTCTGGATGGAGATAACCACTTTCCGAAGATGCATCCCAGAATCGATTGTACCTATCAGCAAAGAACCAGAGCGGGGGCCCAAGAAGAGCACAAGGCAGTGCAGTCTGCAACTACAAATTACCACTGTGGCTGCCTCCAGTGGAGTCACTTGGTGCCAGGGGAGGTGGATGCGGCTTGTCCATCAGCATGCCAGATGAGGGGGCTCCTCCCAAAGGGACAGAGGGGATGGAGTAAGGGCCGGGGACACCGGAGACAGAGGGAGGGTACCCGGCCTTTGCTGCCTTCCCTGCTTCATACACTGTGGAGGGAGATGAAGAGCGAGAGAGATTATGTCGTCCCACCCTCCACAACCCTCATAACAAAAATCCCTGGGGATGTGCCTAAGGGAGCTCCTGATGTGTGTGTGTGTATGTGTGTGTGTGCATCCCAGGGACCAAAGTGATTCCTCAGAGCCACCCTCCCCCACTCCCTTGGATTCCTCCAGATCTGCTGAAAGGCAGTGACATAGGAATTACAGTGTTTAGTACCTGGCATCTGAGCAATTAAGCCGTTCTGGGAGCTGTCACAGCAGCACCGCTGGTGACAGCAGCAGCCTGCTCCTAGCCTCTCCGTGGGGAGGCTGCCTCCGCCCCTTGGCAGGGGGCCTCCCACAGGGGCTGCCCAGGGCTGTTCCCAGGAGTATCTCTTCTAGGGGAGGGAAGCAACCATTGGGTTGTACACGGCCCATGCTCTGGGATACAAAAGCAGAGCAAACGACTCTGCTTCTGGAGACTAATCCTGACAATGCTAAGCATACGTAGTGTGCCTCTCTCTTCCAAGATGTGTCTGGTTTATGGCGGGGGGCAGGCCACATTTCATGGCTGCATGGGCTTGGCCAGTAATGGAAGACTGTGATCCCCAACATGAGGACCAGAGGCCCCGTCCCATCACGTGAGCAAATAAAACTCATCTGTGACATCAAAGGCTGCAGTTTGTATGCTCTGTTCACAGAAAAAATGGGCGGGGGGAGGCGTGGTTCTGCATGGGAGGGGGATGCCCAGAGAAGGCCCCCTTTCCTCCTGAGGAGTGGGCACAGCCTTACTCCACAACCTCACCATCCAGAACCTGCCTGCCCTTCCTTTCATCAGTAGAGTCAATGAGTGTTCCAAATGCATGGGTGACGGGTGTGGATAAAAACATAGAGAAGTGCATGCAGGTGAGGAGCCAGACAAGAATGCTCATCTCTGAAGCCGGGGCTCCCAGCAGGGGAGATCGGCTCAGCTCCTTGGGTGGAAGGGAAGGAGGTGGAGGAAGAACTCGGGGCACACAACTGTCAGATGAAAGGTGGCATTGCTTTTGGTCATTCCACATCTCCCCACTGGGCACATCACTCACAGGCCTGAGGGCAGCAGCAGGAATCTGGGCAGCACGGGCAGCGGACGTAGCAGCAGCAGCTGTGAGGGCAGCACTGGCACCAGCAGATGCCCACCAGCACGAAGAAGAGGAAGACTCCCAGGATCACCAGGCCGACAAACACCCACTCTGCAGGGACACACAAAGAAACGCACATTCGAGATGGCCACCCGCACGGGCAGGGCACACTCTGATGGGTGTCTCCCCTGTGGAAGGAGGAGAGTGTGAGGAGCCTGGAGACATGAATGGGGAAAAGAGCCCCCAAACCCGAGAGGAGCTCAGAGTGAGAAGTGCAAGAGCCCCCCCACCCCACCCCCAGGGCTAGAACATAGCATAGAGGGAAGAAGGTTACCTACACCTCCACTGGGTGTACAGAATGACTGGCACAAAGCAATGAGGGACTGTCAGGTTCTCCTACTGGGGAAAGGGTTTACTTAATTGATTTTAGTGTCAGAATAAGGATGGGACAAGAGTGCAAAGACTCCTTGCTGGGGTGGAGGGTGTAGGGGGACTTTGCCTGCTGGGTTATGCAATGGCTCATTCTATGAATATGTATCATGTTGACCCAAGTTAATCTTGTCTGAAATGGTATAAATTCTGATGAGAAGAAAAAGTCTCTGAGTCTGTATGGCCCAAATGAAGACCATTCTTGGTGGTCCAGGCCCCTTAGGCGTGCGTCTCCTTTCCCTGTTCACTGCCTCTAGAACAGCTTTCCTGGACTCAGCACCAGTGCTGAGACCCAAACCTTTTGCTTATAGCTGGATGACCACCCAGGATTTTTTTTTCCCCCTAGCAAAAACCCAGTCTCAAAGAAGACACTGTTGCTGTCCCCAGAGAATGGGCTTGGTTTGATCACACTCAAGCTGACCACACCAGAGAGCCAGCACAGCCAAAGGCTAAGTGGCTCACAGCTTTGACAAACGGCAAGGCTGACACGTGTATTGATGGGGATGTTTGTTCACCGCTGCTATTTTCACAGCTCTGCCAGAGGCTGAACATGAATTCTATTTCATTTGCCCATCCAAAGGATTAAGAGAAAGGAAACAAATTCCACTTGGCCTAGGTAAAAATGGCCCTCAGGTGACTTATCTGTGATTTTTGCTATTAGGACTTGGCTAACAGACCTGACTTCCCCCAGAGACCTGGGCAGACTGCAGCGAGCCAGGCTTTCCTTTAAGAGAATAGAGTGACTCATTTTGGTTGAAGGCCGCGTAACAAATATCAAGTTTGACACTCAAGTGCAGATTGTTTTTCTTAAATTTTGGCTGTTAGGGGCCGGTGCTGTGGCGTAGCAGGTTAAAGCCGAGCCTACAGCACCAGCACCCCATATGGGTGCCGGTTCTAGTCCTGGTTGCTTCACTTCCAATCCAGCTCCCTGCTAATGTGCCTGGGAAAGCAGTGGAGGATGGCCCAAGTGCTTGGGCCTCTGCACCCACATGGAGACCTGGAAGAAACTCTGGGATCCTGGCTTCAGCTCAGCTCAGTTCCAGCCATTGCAGCCATTTGGGGGGAGAACCAATGATGGAAGACCTCTCTCTCTCTCTCTCTACCTCTCTTTGTAATTATTTCAAATAAAAAAAAAAATCTTAAAAAAATTTTGGCTGTTAAATATCTCTTCAATTAAATGAACATTCAATTGAAAGCAAGACATTTTATATATAAAGAGTTTCGTAATCATGGTGAAATTATTCAACCTTTGTTTAGAAGGCAAACAAGAACAGGGAGAGAAAACAGGCAACATATTCCTGAACGTCCCTCCTCACTTATCCTTCTGAGATTCACTCAAAATAACCAGGTCAGTCTCTTCAGGGAGGGAATGAGAAGGCCTGATGCCCTGCGGGAATGGTCTGGTGAGCATGCACGCTGAAGACAATAGATAGCGGAAAGCCTTGACCCTGGCCTTCACAGTAACATAATCAACAGAATGTAGCCTGAGACAGCTGTGAGTCCTGAGATTTAGATGAGCTGTATGGAGTGGTGCCTACAAAACAATAGAATATTATCTGTGAGAGAATTCTTGGAGTCAAAAGGGAAAGAAATTCAGGCATGTAGGGCCAGATATGAAAAATACAGTAACTTTTTCTTGCATCTGGGAGATAGAACATCTTGTTTGGAGCATTTCAGGGTAGCGTTATTTTGTGTGATGAAGAAATGCTTACAAAGAAATAGCTGTTTGTGTCCTTGGGAGTAACATCAGTAAGAACAATGCCTTCATTTGGGGAAAGACCAGAGGAATTCATGGAAGAATAATTAGCTCAGCTGTGAAAACTGGACATTTCTTACAACTTCAATCGAGCCAAAACCAGTGGCCAGTGATATTGCATAGCTGCTGCTATTAGGCAACTCTCAAGATTCAGGCAGAAGCCCTCCAAAGCCAGATGGGATCACGCCGTTCCCTACTCCTTGAGTATGGACACGTCCTTTCACATGGTTCATCCTTCCTTCTGCCGGAGCCTTCTTTAGTGGTGGACTGAGGTAATGCACTAAACTGACACAGGCTCATGTACACTGGTGTGTTCAACTGAAGCTATGTAGAAAGAGATGTGGACTTGCTGCAGGTGTCCTTGACATATGATCATGAACCTTTAGGGAGTTATGTGCCAATCAAGCTCCTGAAGTTGTATTGCAAAGTAATATGGATCTGTAATTGTGTATTTTTCAAGAGAGGAGAGATGCTTAGTTTGCTTAAGGTTTTTTTTTTTAATGTTTGATAATGTTATAAAAGGCATAGGATAACATGATTGTATAATAATGGGTGAGTAAACACATAAGTAAGGGGAATATGGAAAGCAAGTAAATAGTGACACTGCTAAGAATACTTATGGCTGTCTGGATCCAGCTGAGATATTGAGATCTGGAGACTGCCAAAGAGCCTGCATGCTTGACCCTGAAGGACTTGGTCTCCAGCATCTCAGCCAATTTTAATTATCCTTATTCTTTCAGGGTCTAGTGACAGAAGGGATACCATTTAAAGGCTCTTCCAGTGGGTTTAGTTCATCCTGGAGAAGATCATAGATATATATACACACACAGATGTGCACATAAATTAAACAAGCAGTTAGCCACTAATGCAGAAGCGAGACAGCTGGAATGAGAGCAAACTAAGCAAATAAAGAGTTAAATGACTGAATACCTGGCATAATCTCCACAGCAAAACTGGGCAAGAGATCAGCAAGCAGCCCTGTCCTGCCTAGAAGAGGTGGAAAGAAAAGAAGAAGGAGAGAGGTTACTGCAAAGGAAAACACAGCCTGAAGCCCAGCTCCAATTGGTACCGTCTCCACGTGGGGCCACAGGTCCGTGCTCTTTGTGGTGTGAGAGGCACATCAAGGTTGGGGTCAGTCAAGAGAAGGAGCTTCTTCGGCATTCCTCCCAACAAACTCTGTCTCTGAGGCAGAATTCTCTCTCCAGCTACTTGTAGGAGAAGGAAATCTCTGCTTCAGAGTGACAAACTCCACTCAGACTGACACACACCCTCTCCATTCATTCTTATGTCCTTTTCCATACACTTCATTGGGAAGTTAAACCCATCTGTATCCAAATGTTCCATCTACACTTTCATAGATCAGTACCAGCCCCATGTATGTCCATAGAAAAACTAAAGTACATACTTGGTTTTAACTCAAAAAAAGTTTTTTTTTTTTTAATCTCACTACATGGTTCTATTTATGGCCCAAAGAGATTTCAATGATTAAAATTTTCAAAAGCAAGGAAAAGATAAAGCTGGATTAGAAACACATTCTTCTATACTCCTTTTGGCTTCAGAAATGTTCTGTGCATATGTACATGGTATGGCTTTGCCATATGGCACCCACAGCTGGCACTATATGGACCCAAGTGCCTTCTGCACAATATGGCATAGAAGCTCAAAGATTGGTGTCAGAACAGGTGCCCTCAGGGGATGCTAGAAGCAAGAAGCCATGCAGGAAACAAGATGATGGAACATGAGGGAGGAGAGTAGTCCTTTTTTAAAACTAGTCTTATTTATAGAAGGATGTGCTAAAATGCTTTCACCCTGTTCTCCTAGCAAGGAGATCCTGTTATGAACTTCTAGAAGCCCATGTGCCAGATATGTCTTCCACACCGAAGCCTTGCTAATGAACTAGTTAGTCGCACCAGGAAACAACTGTTCAAACTCCCATCCCTTCAGACTTGCAATGGCAAAAGGTAACTGTAGCAGCTAAACACCTGAATTCTACCCTGTTTAGATGCATGTCGTGCACCTCTACAGCAATGCTGTCTAGTAGAAATATAAGGCAAGCAAAAGGGATCATTTTGGCTTTTCTAGTAATTACATTTTAAAATTAAAAAAAAACAGACAAGACTCATTTAAAACTTTTTTAAAACTTATATCAATATTACCAAAATATTATCATTTCAAGGGCATAGTTACCACATGTTGCTATTGGACAGCCTTGCTCTAGGGATCTATTTCCCTAATACTGATTGGGTTCATAAGGTTTATTGAGGTACACTAGAGACAAGGTTGCTCATGTGTGAGTTTTCCATCTTGAGCTTAGAGGTCACCATTGGTCCCCCTTCCCCATCAAGGCACCTCACACAAAGAAACTCTGATGAAAGTCAAAGAAAAGGAGGCTCCTGCAGGACACTAGGGGAGGCTGCTGGGGACAAAGATACTGGTGACTAGGTGCTCATTTTAGTTTTCCTTGGATCTCTACAACTCTATGAGGCCAGTGTGGCAATGTGTGTCCTGGACACATCTCCCGTGTGGATGGTGTCTCACATTTGGAAAGGTAACTGGGACCAGAGTTTACTCCAAGGGAAGGGGAGTTTGAAGTGGGCGACTTAGGCCAGCTCTGCTGTAGGCATTGGCCATAACATTTTCCCCCTTTCTGCTGACACAGCTCTGCTTCTGGAAGGAACCCTTGAAGAACAAGTGAGAACCAAGTGGGGTAATGGGAAAAGGTGTCCTGAGGGAGACTTCCCAGGCTAGTCCTTGGCCCAAGCCTTCACCAAAGGTTACAAGGTGTCCCTATGGCTCACAGGGTAGGAGTACTCTAGGATCCAGCCATGGATTTGGGGCCAAAGCCCGAGAAAGTTATTAACGGCATGTACTGATCTCTTCTGGAGAGTTCTCAGCACAAATATTAGCAATAGAGCAAGGCAAGGCAATGGACAGCTGCACAAAGATTTGGGAATTTGGGATCTTGAATATATCTTGCAGACCTGTCAATAGCCAATGATCAAAAAATCAGTGTATAATGTCTTTAGCAAGCTGGTTACCAGATACTTACTTAATGGTTGGCTTTCATTGTGTATACTTGTTATGGGTTTCTTTCCCTAATCTGGGAAATTAGTATTGCTAAATATATCTCTTCTTGTATCCAGTAAAGTGAGAAGCCTGTGTTTACTCTCTAGTTCTCAAGCTCACCAATGTTTTAAACTTTTCTGAATGTGCTACAGTCCAGATCTTTAATTGGATTCATAATAGAAATGATACTGACGATATAAGCCACCATTGCATAGGCTCTCTCAGGAGAAATTAGCTATGTGATAATTATGAACCACAAAAAAAGTCCATATATTCGAGGAGGATATGGTACTCATATCTATTATACAGAGCATATTTTGTGGGAAAAACAGTGGACTAGGAGCTAGGGTACTGTGGGCAGCTTTGTCATAATTCACTTAGTGAATACTTCAGGCAAATGTCTTCCTATTTCTAACTTTCGGTTTTCTTATAGTAAAATGAAAGTGTTGAATGAAGCGCTTGCTCTATAAATAGGGATAATGTATGTATATATGTATATAGATAGATAGATAGATAGACACACTTATCTATCTATCTATCTTTGTTTGGCACTGTCCTGGTTTATGCCTGTGGTCTTGGTACAATTTTAGGTGGACCCTTTTCACTCTCAGTGTCTTGGTTTGGGCAGTTAATTATGTGATCAGGCTATCTATATCATTTTTAGCTCTCAAATCGGATGACTTCAGTTATTGGAGTTGTAAACTCAGATGTCTCTAGGGACCAGCAAGGAATGCAGATGGGTACAGTTGGCCAGATGTAATACAAGAGGCAACAGTTGAGGGTGTGGCAAATGGCAGGATTTCTAGGAGGCTGATATTTCTCACTTCTGGCCTCTGCCACTTGTCCCTTGGGAATGTGTTGGTTGCAGGACATCCTATTATACAAGATTCACTAGACCTCACATTGTATGCCAAATCCATTAATTTTAAAATCTGGCAATGAATTAACTTATTTTTATTTATACTTATTTATTTATTTGAAAGGCAGAGAGAGAGAGAAATCTCCCACCCACTGGGTCACTTCTCAAATGCCTGTAACAGCTGGGACTGGGTCAGCCCAAAGCCAAGTGCAGGAAGTTAATCCAGGTCTCCCATGTGGATGGCAGGGACCCAAGCACTTGAGCCATCATCACCTGCTGTCTCCCAGGGTGCACATGAGCAGGAAGCTAAAGTCAGGAGTGGAGCCAGGTCTTAAACTGAGGTACTCCAATGTGCAATGCAGGTGTTCCAACTGGCATCTTAATATTGTACCAAATGCCAGCCCCTGTTTGTTTTTAAAAATACTGGAAAAATCATACAAAGTATGCCTGTGAGTGGTATGGAGCCCAGAGATGATGACTTTGCAACCTTGAAGGATATAAACGCACAGAGATATTTATGGGTGACTAAAACACAAAAGCTGTGTTTTCCCCAGGCTGTCAGATTTCCTTAGTGTTGCTTTGACATTGCTCCTGCACACAGGGTGACGGTGAATATAAGCTGTAGGCACCATGTTCAAATTAAAATTAAAAACAACAGTAGAACACATCAAACTGTTAGCCACCTTATTTCTGGGGAGCTGGAATGAGGCTTTCGTTTTTTCTTTGACTTTCAAACTGTTGTGATAAAAAACATTAAACTAAGGAGAGTGTGTCCTCAGAAATGCGGACAGGAGAGTCACAAGGTCTGTCACTCCGGCAGGAAGACATCCACCCATCAAGCCTCTCCTTCTCCCTGGAGCCACAGCCAACAGCTGAGGCTTCAGAAGAAGGTGAAGGCTTCCCATAATGCACCCGGTGGTGTTGTCCCAGGGTGGCATGAGTGACAGACTCTGGCAGTAAAGTGGGTGAAGTTAAATGTCTCCAGAATTCAGAAGACAGTGGGAGTTTGGGGACAACAGAAAGCACCACTATATCATGTCAACAGCAGAGACAGTGCAAAGCTCTCCAGCTTTTACATCATCATGACTTAAATTTCACTGCCACTAAAGGCATTTTAAAAATTGGATTCACACTGGAATCCTATAGTTCTGAAAATCCTTTTGCTTCCAGCTTCTTCCCTAAAAATTCCTCCAAAATGCTATTGCGGGTTAGAAACGTGCCATCTTTTCTTCTATCACATCTAATGAAGGTCTGATCTTAGTGTGTAGACAATCTCAGTATATACATTCCTGATTTCAGGAGTCCTTTACCACCCCATGTGGTCACTGTTATTCTTGTAGGATTCAGTGTAGGAGTGGCTATTACAGAGTTACTTTAACTTCTGAGGAAAGGCTGCAAATAGAAAGCCATATTTATTCTTTTCAAACCACAGCTCAGTTTTCATGTAAGCACTCAAGAGTTTTCCCCAAACCTTGCAGATTCCATTACTTTTAAGAAATTTCCACATGAATAGATCGAATGAATCAGGCATACTAATAGTTTGTACATGCACAGTTCCATTCCAAACTGTCACAAACTCCAGAGCCAAACACGTTCACACACTTTGGGTTGAATGTTCAGGGTAGAAATATCCACTGTGAATAAAACAGTTTAAATATATATATAATATATATATATATATATATATATAGCCTATATAATTTCCTATTTCAACTGTTTTCTACCACTGCCTCCTTGAAGTTATCCTCATCTGACCTCTCTGTACATATTCCTGGGAACTAGCTCGCTTCTTGAATGTCTCCGATCTCTGCCTCCTTCCCTCCCTCCCTGATTCATTCGTTCATTCATTCAACAAAGAAATGGTATTGTGCCAGGTGGAGACAGAAAGGAACAAGAGATGGGCCTCTGAGAGGCTTAGGTGGTTCACAGTTGAGCCTATGCCCGTGCACCTTGTCCAAGAACATGAGTCTAAGGGCTCAGCTTTAGTTATTTGCTTCCGTGTCAAAAGACCCACTAGAGTCAAAGACTAGGACTAGAGTCCTGCCAAGTCTGTTTGCATCAA